GGAAATGTGGAAACAGTGCACGGAGAGGTGGCAGTGGGTTAGCAATGTTAAGGCAGGGAATCTGTCTTTCTGTTGGTGCACTGGGCTCAGAAATAGCTCATCTACATGTCTGGGTTGGGCACCCTGTTTTAAAAATACCCTTGGCACAAACACAGTACTTGTGGGGAGGAAGGCAGTGTGTTCTCCAGGCCCTTATTCTCCACTGGGTAAGGCAAGAAGTAACAGACTTGAACTGCAATGAGAATGCTGCAGCTCAGACTTTAGGAAACCCCTCATAACAGCAGGAAACATGATGCTCTGGTATGCACTGCCTGGGAAGAAAGGGGGACCTCCCTCACTGGTGTTCTTCAGGAGCAGGCCAGCTGGCATTTATTGACAAACTATCTGGTACCGTTTGCCCTGATTTTGGGGCCAGGGAGTTTCCTTGATGACTTTGTTGAGGTCCTTCTCAGTGACTAAGCAAGAACAGAGGACAGGCAACTCTAAAAGTACTGAAATATCACCAGGTTAAACATTATTTAACCTTACCGTTGTTTCGAAAGGGATTTTTGGAACTGTAGCAAAAGGCTTACTAAAATTGGGTACTTGATACAGTGATGTATAATTCTAGTCCTAATATGAGTATGGACTTCACCTGGGCACGTCAGATCTGCTTATCAACAGCCCTTATTACTCTACTTCTAAGGCCTTTTGTTGCCAGAGGTGAATACACAGGGGCGTCTGAAGCAAGTAGAGCAATCTGAGCAAGAGCATCCATAACGTCCCTTGCTATTCTCTGTACCAAAGCTGACAGAAACTGTTTTTTTTTTCTTCTTTCCCTGATGCACATCTGAGAAACATTTCACACCAATGAATACTTAACTGTCTTGCTGAAAACATGCAGACATTTATATTATGCATATTACAACTACTTGGTGTACTTGGCTGATGATATTAAAGGGAGGACAGCTTCATTTTTAAATGTTCTGAACTTACCGGCTCTCAGCGTATGAAGGAGCAGTAACAGAAATCCATAGCTAAAATAAAAAGCAAACAAGTGTTACATGATTGACTTTAGCATCTCTGTTGTTTATATAAGTCATAAACCTAATATTGGTTTAGTATAGAAGCAAAAGTAGGTAAATTAGGTACCACTACTATGTAATGTCCCATGAAGTATTTGCATTTTTGACAGCTGCAAAACTTCTTTGCAAACGACATAACTCCGTGGGTGGGCGGCCAAGGCCATGAATAGCAGTAAAACGCACTAATATTGGAATCGGAGCAGAAGGCCTGAAGCTGGTGTTGTGCCAGTCTTTCTCTTGAAAAACGAACCGTATAGACTTACCAGACAAATGGGACTCGGAGGATATCTGGGTCACTGGGAAGGAGCATGGCTACCCAGGCCCAAATCCAGGCCAAAGCCCTGCGTCGCACTGTTTTGCTGAAACTCAGTGAGTTATGGCTTTATCTGGTTAAAGGATGACAAGAAGCTGACTGTGCTGCCCACCGGTCTGTGCACTCAGTAAGAGGCGTGTAAACAGGAAACGTGCTGATAGTGGGGAGCTGTGCAAAGGTTTCGCTGGAAAGAATTCAGCGTGTTTGATTACTCCAGAGGGGCACATCTACGCAGAGGTTTCCCAAGGGAGAAACTGGAATCCTCCTGCTGGATACTATACGAAAAGCCAGTGTAACCTATCTATAAAGTCACAGAATCCTAGAATTGTTCTGGTTGGAAGAGACCTTCCACATCGTTAACCCAGTACTGACAGGTTACCATTAAACCATGTCCCTAAAGTCCAGGTGATTTAACACTCATCCCATAGGGCTTCAAGAAAAGTAAACATGTAACATTTTCCTAAGAGTTACTTTTAAATAGCCTTTCACCACCATGCTAGCCATACATTGTGCTCTCCTTCCTTCAGACTGCTGTAGGAAGGGAAAGGAAAGGAAAGGAAAGGAAAGGAAAGGAAAGGAAAGGAAAGGAAAGGAAGATGCTGGAAGGGTTTTGGAATGAGAGCTGCGTGGCTGCAGTTGTTCACCTTCCCATTGCCCCAGGTGCAACAAGGTGGCGAAGCTGAGATGATGGGCAGAGACATGAGCACCCGCTCATCTCCAGTTTCTTCAGATCAATTTTGTAAGTGAGCAGGTCCCATCCACACTGCTCACCTTCTTCCCTTCAAACCAATCCTGCCCTGCTTGACCCTCCTCACTCTAAGCCCTAACATAAGCTCACTCACTCCCCCAGCAGCCATTTCTCACCTTGCTTTTCCCCATCTGCTGTGCCTTACTACACCCCATCTCTCTTCCAGGCTTCCTGCCCTTTCCCCACAGCTTCTACCCCTTTGTCCAACCAAGCATCAGGATTTGCCTGCCATCCCCCAGTCACAGCATCGCTTCTGCCCAGCTTTACTTCTGCAAGCTCCCTGTTGTGGAGGGTCTCCAATTCCACATGCTCCCAAGCAAATGATGATCTTTCCAAACATATATAACTTCTCATGGAGAGACCAGAGGATATTCCTGACATAAAATCTACCTTTACTTGAAGCCTCATCTCCAGAGAATGACATGGTAGAAGTTTAGGGAAGAGTCGGTCTCAGTTGTACTTTTATCTGGAGAAAACTCTTTTCCTTTTTCTGTGTTCTTTGAAATGGTTGCATAGATGAGGTTTCAAAATCTTAAGTGGATGCCCAGTGTGGAACATTTCTGCTCTAATACTTGTTTTAGTAAATCTGCAATCAGCCCTAATGTAAGTTGCCCAAGGCAGCATACCTAAGCACTCCAGGGAGGAAACTCTGTTCTGTCTCTGGCAGTGGCTTCAGCTGGCTTTTGCACGTGGTCTTGTATTTCTGTTTTAGTTTTGTACTGTGCAGGAGCCATCACTTTTGTGCCAGGTTTGTAAAGGTCTGTCTTGACAAGCTCACCTGAACGTAATTCTTAACTGTTCTTAATCCTGTGGCTCTGTGTCATTGTTCCCCACCCAATTTAGAAACGATGGACATAGCAAGTCATTGAATTAAACAGAGAACAACTGACTAATCTTTATGGGACTTTTCAGGGAATTTCCCATGGTAGGCATTTGATGATGCCAACAAACATTTAGATAGGAAGCCTGAACTGGTTATCTAATGTATGTATACAAAGCAAGTCTTGATTTCTTATTGTAATAAAGGATGTCACAATCAAGGTTGGATATTTCTAGAGATGCTAATTTTCTTACTTGGAAGAGGCTGCAGCTGTGGAAGTGTGGGGGCAGTGCCAACCCATGATGTTCCCCTGGAAAACCTTTAATGCCAAGCTCCTATTGGAAAAAGGGAGAAACACTCTTGCCTGCAGAGAAATCTCCCTTTTGTTCCATATGTACTTTCAGCCTCTCTGTCCATCACACTGGCAGTGAGCTCCATTAAGCACAGGTGTAGGTGCATCAGTTTATTAGGTTCTTTATTTTTTTTAAAAAATATATTTTGAATAAGTTTTTCTTTTTCAACTCTTTCACACACCTTCCCCTTCTATAGGTTTCTTAAAATGTCATGTGAAATGGGAGAAAGTTGCACTTCCTCTTTCATACATTCTTGTTTGGCAAGATTTATTCTTCCTACCTGCATCTCAACTCTTTCATGCACTATCTTAGGGTTAGTTGATGTTGCTGTTCTGGCAGCC